CCGCGCCTTCGCGCGAATCACGCGCACCTCAACCATTAACTGCACCAGCATGCAAAGCCATACCAGAATGCACCACTTTAGATCACGAACTCGAGCGCGCGCTTGCTAAGCGCAACCAGAAGCACACCGCAGGCGCCTCTTCACCTTCACCATCAGCATCATCTCCTTCGCAATCTCCATCATCACCAATCGCATCGTTAGTCAGGGATGACTCTAAACATCTATTGCACACTAACGTGCCAGTTGAAACACGCGCGCCTATCGCTAACGCATCGCGCGCGCCTATCGCTATCGCATCGCGCGAAGTCAGGGATGACTCTAAATATCTATTGCACAGTAACGCGCCCATTGTGGACGTTATTACGCCGTCGCTTGAAACGCGCCCGCCTATCGCATCGCTTAAGGAAGAAACCTCGCCAATCGCACCATCACCATCACCGCATTCGCCATTCGCATCATCAGAGGTCAGGGATGACCCTAAACATCTATTGCACCTTAGCGCACCTATAGAGGAGCCTCCTACCACATCAGAGGCTCAAGTTGCACCTTGCATCAACCAGAGTTTGCCTCTGGTAACTCCAACTGTCACTAATGATCGCGCGCATGTCGCGCTTTTTGCTTCCAGTGACTATCGCGCGCCGGTAAAGCATCCATGCATCATACCACCTAACCACCAAGCAGAGCATGTCTCAGGTGACCCTGGCGCCACTCAGGCGCACCATATTGCGCCTGAGGATGCGCAATGCGCGCGCCTAGAGGTATTGTATATTTACCCTCATCTCATTTCGCGCTTTTTGTCTCTTTCATGTTTAAAGCTCTTAAGGAGCTATATGACCATTCCAAACACTTTAATTTCATCCTTGCACTACCCCTTGTTCACGCGCCATGATCACGCGCATCGCGCAATACGCGCGCGCATTCCCGCGCCTCGCGCACTCATAATTTTAGCAGAGTTTTCACGCTATCGCATTTCTATCATTTCTCCCCCTTTAAATCACAAATTTTTCATTCAACTCAAGACATATTCCATTCAGCCATCCAGGCGCGACATAGGCGCGCGCCTGACACATACATATGCGCCTAACCCCCCTATCATCATCTTTAACTTTGCAATCTCCACATTTATTCGCATTCTTCGTACTTTTGCTTACCATGTCAATTTTGTTCCTGCGCGCCTTGATGCGCACTATTCTCCTTCACCTATGCGCCTACTGCGCCTTGATATACCACCCTTACAGCCCATTCACGCAACATTTGCGCCTAATTTCACGCTATACATGTCTCTCGCTAATCCATTTTCAGAGAAATGGCCGTTCCTCGCGTGTTCGGCCAATATAATCAAATTCGCGCGAAATCACCCCAAGGCGCGCACATCGCGCGCATCCTATCAGCTTGTAGGGCGCCCCTACACCCCTTGCAGCGCCTTCCATTGGCGCGCCTTCAACCTGCAGCGCGTTGTGCAGGAATTCATTCTGCCAGTCACAAGCCCCCCCAAGCGCGCCAGCCTCGCGTATTCCAACCCTACCTTGGGTAAAGCATTAGCTCGCAAGAGACGCGAAGCGCGCTAGTCACGCGCGCTCGCACGCGCTCAAGGAGGAGGATCGAGCGCTCCAGCGGCGCATCAAAGGAGAAAGATATACCATCGCTGTTCATAGGATATCATTCGTTTTACCCTGGGTTTCGTCCAGCGCTTTCATTTTCATTTTCTCTCATTATAATGCTGTCCAAAGAACTAATAACACACTGATATATATGCATATAGGAATCACTTAGAAGAACATAGAAAAAAAAAAAACAATCATAGAACGTGCCCGCCTAGCTCAATAGTATATTTTCTCTTCACATGCATGACGCGGCACCATGCTCCTTTTTACCTTAGAACGCACACATATGCGCGCAGTCTTCCCACGCTCACGCGCGCGTGTTCACGCACCTTGCGCGCACATGCGCTTTATGCGCGCGCTTCCCGCGCCTTTCTCATAGGAAGGTGTAGATGTTGACAGCTGCACGAAGAAGACAAGTCGGATAGGACATCCGCAACATTTACCATTTTCCCTTCATATTTTCACATATAGTTTTACTCATGCTGTTCAAACCTTTAGCAACTAATATTTAGCACGCCTAATAGGACTTGGTTTGGACATGGATTGGATCGCTCCTGGACTGCGCCACTTCGCATCATCCCCACAGAATACAACACATGCGACACTCACGCGCTTTCTCGCGCCTTGCGCGCGCGCACTTTCCCGCGCTTCACACCATATGCGCGCATCCCACCCGCGCCTCGCGCGCCATGTCCATATCACTCTCACATCATCGCCTCACACCCATGGAACACTATTCACCCCAGAGTCACCCTTGCAATTCGCCATGCTACGCTTTATTCCCGTGCCTTCACGCATAGCGCGCGCACATTCTCGCGCCTCGCGCGTACCATGCGCGCAAATTCCCGCGCTTCATGCACATCCGCGCGACAATTCCTGCACTTGCACATTCATCACCCCACAACCCAAGCATCATACATGCATCGCACTCGCATACTATCACGCAAAATCCTCACCACGCGCGCGCTGAGTGGGGACACTCAGAATTTAAGTCCCTGGGAGATGTAGAGAATCATGCCTCTCATGGCGTGATATGGTAGTTTTCACCAAGGAGTATACAGCACGAACTCATAGCATTACTCTGTGCGCTACCCGCAGCTTTCCCATGCAACGCGCACCATGCGCGCACCATTCCCGCGCTTCACGATGTATACGCGCGCGCGCGTTCCCGCGCTTGTGCGCCCTATAGCGCCAGCCATCCAGATGCATCCATCCACTGTCCACCAAGCTCCCTAGTATGTATATTTCCATTTCCTTTATTAGCATAGTTCCACCTTTATTTTTATCATAGTTTCTCACTCATATATATTTTTACATACCTACTCGGTAGCGCTTCGGCTCCGCATGAGCGCGCTTAGGCGCGCTATATAAGCGCTAGCAGTACATACTACACTGGACCTACTTTTTCCTACTTTTCACTTACTAGTTACTACCCACTTACTACTTAGCAGAATATAGTAGAAAGCTATTCCTTTACATTTTGCACTCTTATATCTCTTATCTTGCTTTATATCACTACTTAAGCTTAGTTTCTCATTTCCGCATACGCGCGCGCACTTTCCCGCACTTCGCGCTAATACGCGCGCGCGTTCCCGCGCCTTTGTACCTTGCGCGCTCCTGCGCTTTCTCGCGCTTCGCTGAAGCGCACACTTCTAGATCCTTGCTGCACTCACTTCCCCTATAGGGTCGAACGCACTTGCTTCTCAAGTAACGCAGACTAGGCAGCGCGCGACCTTACAACTTTTACAGATACAGTCAGGAGCTTCTTTTGTTCCTCATTGTATTGTAGTTTCTACAACAGTTGTAGAAACAACAATACAATGAGGAACAAGGATGCTCCTAACTGTATCTATAAAATGTTGTGAGGTCGCGCGTTACCTAGTCTGCTATTCTTGAGGAGACAAGTGCGTTCGACCCTAGGGGAAGCGAGTGCTGCGAAGATCTAGAGGTACGCGCTTCAGCGAAGCGTGAGAAAGCGCAAGTGCGCGCAAGGTACGAAGGCGCGGGAACGCGCGCGCGTATTAGCGCGAAGCGCGGGAAAGCGCGCGTGCGTAAGCGGAAATAAAAGAGACTAAGCTTAAGTGATGATATAAAGCAATATAAGAAAAGATAGATGCAAAGTGTAGACCAATAGACTTCTACTATGTACTGCTAAGTAAATAGTGGGTGATAACTAGTAAGTTCAAGGGAAAAGTAAGGTCCAGTGTAGTATGTACTGCTGGCGCTTATATAGCGCGCCTAAGCGCGGTCAAGCGGAGCCGAAGCGCTACCGAGTAGGTATGTAAATATATATATGAGTGAGAATGCATGATAAAAATAAAGGTGGAACTATGCTAATAAAGGAAATGGAAATATACGCACTAGGGAGCTTGGTGGACAGTGGATGGATGCTTCTGGATGGCTGGCGCCATAGGGCGCGCAAGCGCGGGAACGCGCGCGCGCGTATACATCGCGAAGCGCGGGAATGGTGCGCGCATGGCGCGCGTTGCGCGGGAAAGCTGCGCGTCATATAGAGATAGCTGTGGGTAGTGCACAGAGTGACGCTACAAGTTCGTGCTATGTACTTCCTAGTGTAAAGCACCATATCACGCCATGAGAGGCATAATTCTCTACATCGGATCCGTCTGATGTCTATAAATTTCTTCTCGCCATCACGAGCATGCTCAAGCAGCTGTTTGATGACTCTTCACATGGCTTTACCAATGAGGAAAAAGAGCAGATACGCGCGGTCGTGAATAAATGCTTCCGTGAGATTATTCAGGAGGGTCCTGCAGATTGTTATATAGCTGCATTCTTTTTGGATCCTCGTAAGTCCCCTTCTAATTGCATGTCTCCGTTTCTGAACATTGTCACATTACATACAGGCTATGTCGGCTGTGACATGCTTCGAAGGTCTCTCAATCCCCTCGCACCCACTATCACAATTCCTCCACTCATACCACGCACACCAGAGGAGACAGTTCCAAATCAAAGGGTCTTTGGTCGTGTTATGAAGTATTTGAAGACAGTCGTTGAGCCAGAATGGAAATCGAAAGACAATCCAACACTGAAGGGTCTTACTCGTTTGCAGGTACAGGAGTCTTTTGTCCGTCAGTTGCACCGTTATGCCCGCCTTCAGTATCCCTTTGATGCTCCAGTCGAAGCTGGCCAATCTATCTTGTCATGGTGGACACATCTCACTCGGATTCCTGAAGGTGCTGTCCTTGTAGTATGTTGTTGCTCGTCCATTGACATTGATCTTGTGCTAATCTATTGGCCCTTAGTGCATTGCACAGAAGATATTTTCTGTGAAGCCGAATGACATGCCTGAGGAACGTACCATGTCCATTTTCACCTGAATGAACTCGGCCCTCAGAAATCGCCAGCAAGTCCAAACACTCGTAGATATGACGCAGATCAGACAATGGCATATGTATGATCCCGAGGTCAGTATATCGTTTGTACACAGCACATTTCTAACACCTTGAATTTACAGAAATTCCGCTTGCGCGAGCAACCCACATTGGACTTTTTTGATGTTGAGCAGGTCATTTTTGGCAAAGGAAAGAGCACTGCTTCGCGGACGCACAGTATCACAGGAAGTTCGTTGATTATCGAAAACGGTGATGAACACGAGGAGATACTTGATGAAGATACTCATACCTGGCTCGATGACAAAATTGAAAACATGCCTGATGATTCCACTTTCGATGCCGAGGAAGACATTGACTTAGACGTGCCGGAACTCACAAAAATTCTCGCTGATGATCCACCCCAAGGGAGTGTGTCGAAAGGTAAGAAGAGAGAGCAAATGGTGGCTTGCATTGATGACGCCGACGATGCTGATGGCGAATGGGTCTGGAAGTGAAATTGCCCAGCGCACAGAAGTTTTTTCATCAAGAATAGTTAATAACACCTGTTTTCGACAAGTTAGCTTGAACGAAAAAATCACGTGCCGACTGTCAATATGTGTTAAAAAATGTCAGTTAATAATTAACTGCCATCCTCCTGGGTTAATAACCCAGTTAATAACTGGCTGGATAATTTTTCACTGCACCCTAGACGGCGAACATTGAAGCAATGGAGCTTATTTGATAGACCGGTGACTCACTCAGAGGTCAAGTGATATTCCGACGTGCTGCCCAGCTGGCCGGAGGTTGATAGTGATCATGTGATCTCTTGTGGAAGTGAGGAATACATTCCTTCACGACAGTAGTAGTATGCTGAGGTGTCTGTATCATGCGCCAGGCCATAAAAGTTGAGCTAATACTACTCAGTAATAATGTGTTAGTTTGCACACGAGAGGCGTGTCACATTGCGCTATGATCACAATTTTCCCGATGAGTCCTTTGGAGTCCTGGCATAATCCACCACACAATCATCAGTAAACCGATGAGTCCTTGATATTGTACCCATGCGAATTGTAGAGGGGTAGAACTCTGCCGCTGCTAAATATTTTCATGTATACCATAAGAAATCTGATTTGCTGCTACATAGCCCGGAGATCTAGAGTAAGATGAGCAGTGCACAACAAGGTTATGATGTTCCTCCATTGCAGCTGACCAGGGTGGTAAGCCGACTAATGCCAAATATTTTGGCCATTGCCATTTTGCCTTACTTACGCTTTACACTACAACTTCATCCACGACATTCTCGTGGGAAGTACCTTTGGCACCTGTCAACTAATCTAGAATAGCACTAGATTTTGTAACAATGTTCTGACTTGTGGCCGTGAAGAGTAACAAGGGATGACAGCGCACACCTCTCAACCTGTTTCGTGACTCTCCTTTTCCGCCGTCTATACATTGGATCAAACTACTATTTAACATCTTCCCATAGGAAGAGCCTTTTGCATTTGTCAACTAATCTAGAATAGCACTACAATTCCTAACAAAATTGCGACCTGTCACCATCGCAGTATGTATTGTACTCCCGGCAGTGTTGATTGTTATTTTCCTCCATTATCAAGTGTTAATCTCGCGAGTCAGTGGCATCATGATGCACTTGAGACATTATGATGATTAGTTAGTTACACTCAGGCCACGATATACATTCGACTTGAAGTTGCGACTCGATATGGGCAATATCGGTCAATAGACTTGGTAAAATATCAAAGTGCAACTTGAAAGGGGACTCGGAGGACCATCATGTTAAGCTACTATGACTCATCAATGTTTGAGAGCTAACTTAGCCGGTTTTTTGCTTCCTGAATGTCTCGAAGTGACATGAGTGATACAGTTTGATAACATTTGAGATGTGACTTACTGACTGTACATGCTACCACCTGCACTAAAGCCTCCCCATTTTTAGCACAAACTTTCTCGGATCCGATTGATGTAGTGATGTCGTTGCGCCTCGAAACTTGGAAGACATTTGCTACGACTACCAACCGAGGATTCAGTGTCATGCTCAGTTTGAAAGAGCCTGAGGGCGTCAGTATTCTGGATGTCTGAGGAACGACAGGTTGAAAAAGGCTTCAAGTAGGAAGATCATGGTCTGTCTAGCCGCGGTTTCTATGAGGAACGGGTGAAGGATTCGTAGTTGATGGTTCGCAATATCCCAAAGCAGAAGGCGTTCAGCATAGGGAAGAAAGATGATTGGGAGAAACTTACTAGTTTCATGAGTTTCAATATATCGAGGCACATGCAAACCGCCTTGACCGCGTCCACCTTACTGCCACCGCATCTTGGGTGCAAGCTTTGGCTGCTTCAACTATAGCATCCACGAGACGATTGCGCATGGGGGCACAGTGGCTTTTGAGAGTTGGGCCAATGACGATGAAAAGTCCTTATGAATCGAAGAGTTGGTGGTGAAGCTCTTGCTGAATAAGCTCCAGATCAAAGAGGGATCTGAGATGAACAGCCAGAGCTGCATGTTGCTCAATTTGCATCTGGAGGGTTGCAGGATTGGCATAGGTGCCGCATATACTTGTAAGGGGTTGTATGACAAAGAGCAATACTTCGAGAAAAATTCTGTGAGAAGGTGATGGATGTGGCAGGGCATGCGGAATGTGGGTGCTCGGAGAGGGGAGCATTACTAGGTGAGGCTGGGTACTTGTGGTATAAGGCCTTGGGCATGAACAGAGGAGGTTGTGGGGTTTCCATTGAAGATCAAAGGAAATGTAGGTACAGCCTGTTTGGAGTTCTTGTGCAATACAGAAACACTATTTATCGTGTTTACGTCGACCATATGTAGGACGAAACTGGAGACCAGCGTCAAAGAGAAGATTACGTCCTATTGAATATATTAGATATATGATAAGTTAAATTTGTAATAAAAACTGACGAAGTTATCGACCTCACCGATCCAAATCTTGAGGGTGCAGACGTGAATGACGATTCGTCCTCTTTGCATGCCCCGTCCCTTCCACCCTCATCGTCAGAGGCTGAAGATGACGACTTTGATATCGATGCTGTTGTTAGAGAAGAGGAGAAACACCTCGCTGCATTTAGAGCACAACATTCGGTTTCGCCTGAACCTCCCGCACCAAAAGCCAAATACAAAGTTTTGCCACCTGAAGTTGCAGATGGGATGGACATCGACGAAGAGGCGATGTGGAATGACCTCGAAATATTTGATGACTCAATCCCCAACCCTTCTCCACCTCCGGAGAGTAGTAAATCGAGCATCGTAGTCGATAACCAGGATGAAGAGATATGGGATATGGTGCGGGAATTGGAGAGAGAAGAGCTGAGAAGAGTACACAGCATCGAAACAACTTCCTGTGTCATCTGTTTTGAGTATGCCTTCGGCAGAGAACGCTAACATATCTCTTGGGACAAATGACGAAGACTTTGATGATATATATGCGTAGATGAGGAGGTGCATTGTGGGGACATGAGATGATAGGTCGACTGGAGCCTGAGGGTGTGTGGGTAGAGGAGAACAGTCATCGATAGCCGCAGTATAATGAGGTCTAGATGATTAGGGCGTGATTCAGTTTTTTCCTGAAAGAAGTTCGCCAGGGAGTAAGAGGTGATGAAAGAGTCTTAATAACTTAACGCCTATGAGATTTAAAAGATTGTAGATTGTAGGTATCGACTCCGAGTCTTGTTCAACGTTCAACTAGTACTACATCAAACTTGGAACCGTTTTCGTACAACATCATGTGACACGTGTCCAGCCAAAATGTGTCTACACGTGGATATGCCTGGTTCCCCTCTGGATTTCTGTGACTCAGCATGGCTGAGCCTGTTGTGGGTTTTGACTGGGGGTGAGCGCGCGCGCGGGTGTCAGCGATGTGAGTACATGATAATAACCATGGTGAACGTTCAGATCTCAGAGGTCGTCCGAAAACAAAAAGCTCTAGCACCTACTGAGCTTAAACACCATGAATTAGAAATACAGATATTCATCATGATCTTCTGCATCCCAATCTTCTGCGTTCTCTACTCCTTTGTCTTCGTCATAGTTTGCATCTTCATCTTCATCTTGGTCTTGGTCCGGATTGGCGTCTGAGTCTTCTTCCCCGTTATCGTCACATCCCCCCCTTGCTCCGTCATTGTCATCAGCCCCACCATCGCCATTACCCATATCTCTTCCATCCTCAAGGGGTGCAATACGGCTCTCCCAGTCCCTGTCGTAGTCATTCTGATCTTCCTCTGACATTAGGTCATCCCCGGGTCCTTCATCCGTGCAAGCCTTCGCTATCTCCCGCAAGAATTTCGGATGCCCAATTCCATGGTACGTGTACCGCATGAACATATCTCTGTCCACGAATCTGAGCCGTCCATAGTTTGAGTGAGGACAACAGTATGGGATGCTGTACTTACATGCCAACATAGTAAGCTTCCCAGTCATCTAATTCGCCGCACTGACGTGCGAATGACTTTCCATGGCGAAGGGAGGTGGTTCCACGGCCAGAAGCAAAAGCTGGGATCAGGTGCGCACCCCGGATGACCTGACCAGGGTCCAGAAAACCAAAGGCATCATGGTCAGATTCCTCGACAAATGTGACCTTCGGAAGCCGAGCGCAGTTCATCCCTGATCGATGGTCGCTCAAAGGTGCCAACCATCTCACTGAAAAGAACCTCAATTTGGTGCTTTTTGACTCGACCTTCGGCATTAAGCCATGCATTCATGTGATATATGCCCAGAACTCGAGCATACCAGTAGGCATGTTGAGGCTTTGTTTCGCCAGATAATACCATGACATCGCAGTGAGTACTGAGGATTGATAGTGTCATACTCTCGTCTAAGATCGTAAGTAGTGTAATGGACCTGTGGGGTGAACGATGGTAGGCCAGCAAATGTCACAACATGCGTCAAGTACCTGCATAGTTTGCACGGGGTATAGCCTATTATCTGAAATTATGACCGAATTCCGCTCCTCGTCTGTGAATGCATGGTCACAGTAGCTGACATCTAACTTTCGAAGTCGATACAGCACATGGTCCTTGAGTTTCGGTACAAATCCCTGTACCTCGTGAGCAAGATGAACCATGAGAGGACGTCACCACCTACTGTGACAGCTGGATCATCCTCATGACCTCGTAGGAATCTGAAAATGTCCAACGGGTTGTTGCAGCTAAGTTTCCGTATGGTATGGTGATCTTGAAGCCCTGTAGGCAAGTCGACCGGTGCCTCCTGGCTAGCGTATGAACTGCAGCCTTCCTCCGCGACTCGCCGAAGAACGCGACGACGATACTCATGCCTGGCAAGTTGCGCCGGGGTATCTAGTTTATTGGTCAGTGGATAGAACGCTTTTAGCGCTCTATGGGCCAATTCTCCCTGGCCCAAAATCAGATTGAGATGATAAGATATAAGTAGCGGAGCACGTACGATTTGTGAAGTGAAGGAGTCTATGGTCCCAAAAAGCCGGATAGACTGTAGATAGTCTCCCATGGCGTGAAATTTGTAAGTATTCAAATTAAACTTCTTGGCCTTTCGGCCACCACTTCCTACACCTGAATTATTAGAACCGGAGTGTTCACGGGCAGCCTTGCGCTCGCGGGCAGCCTTCTCTTTCGGTAACTCTAAGGTAGTGAAAGAAGTGCAGGTAACATCCCGGAACTTGCGCAATTGACTAGAGAGGTGCTTGAAGGTTTTATCCAAGGCGGACAAGGTCGTTTCCGAGTGCATCCTTAGTTTGGCAAGGGCATGCCATTGGGCAAACTTGTACAAAAGTGATTGTACGACTGCATCGTGGTCCTCTGGGAATAGCCCTTCAAAGACCGGCATGGCGCACTGAGATAAAAGTCAACTAAATACGTGGCAACTGAATCGAGAGGACAAACCTGCAAAATGTCTTCGAAGTCTCTCGCTGCGAGCCGTTTCATTTCCGAGGTATTATTGGCGAATTTGCGTATGACCCCATTGCCATAGGACGGAACTTGGCGAAATCTACATTCGATACCATTACTTGGAAATAGGTTAAGAGAATGTCATGTAACATACCTGTTATCAAACGTTGCAACTAGCCTTTCACCACCTGGGAGTGCGTAGAGTAGACGTATGAGATGGGTGAACAGGGCTTTCCATGTACCTAGCTCGATTTCATGCATGAAATCGACGACGAGCATGCGAAAGGTGTCAAATCCCAGGGGTCCGAGTTTTTCCGCAAACGCATTCTAGCCCAAAGTCAGGTACTAACGAAAGCAATTGATTCCAAAGGCACTCACCATGGTAGGCACCCATGACCCTTCTCCAAGCGTTACCTGCACCTTTGAGCCGTCGACAGTATGTCCTAACCCATAGATGAATCCACGAGCTCTCGTTACATTATCCAGACAGTAGGTCCTGATGTTAGCTACACGGCCTTGTATGTCTTTAAACAGGCCCATAAGATCGAATGAGGCTTTCGGTGCGAGACAGCGTGGACACGGACAAGAGCCCATGTCCTTTATCGTCGCTATCAAAACCCTGCAACATTGATTAATATTTAAACAATGAGACAAAAAACGAGCGCACTTTTCTGGATAGTCAGCAGAGTAAGTGAATATGCGTGGAAATACCCTTCTTAATATGCCGTCGGGACACTGAAGTACAATCCCATGACGGTATGCTTCAAGGAAGTCGGCATCTAGTAGGTGTTTCCAACATGCATGGAACAAGTCACGCCGACAATGTGTGTGCAGGGCCGCCATACCGCTTTTTGATATCCGAGGTAAGCTGTTTATGACGTCTTTGACACTATCCGGAAGCTAAAATATAACGTGAGAGATGTACAACACCGAAGGTTGTTAACCTACCGAAGGTAAAAATCCGACCAAATGACATGCACCAGATTTGGGTGCGGAACGCGCATATTTAGTTAAATTACCGAAGTAGAGATAAAGGGGCCAAGCCTTGGCTGTTCCGAAGGTCGCGAGATGGGTTGCGTCAGAAAAGAACATAAGCCCGGCGATAACGCGTTCGAGTGAGCAGCCGGGTTCCCTTGGCTGTCTCTGCAGGTCATCCTGGGCCGCTAACCAGGAATCAGAGGTATAGAGCTCGTCGAATATGCGCTCTTGATGGTCGTCCAGAGGATCCCTCCACAGGCGCTTGAAGGGCAGAAGGTGGAACGCGTTGGCCTGGATGTCAGCAAATGCAGAACGAATCACTCCTACGATCGGCCTATAATGAAACCCCGGGATGTTAAACGACCTAGATGGCTCGTCCTTGGACTTCGTAGGTATGTCAAGGGTGATACCTGTCTCTAACCAGTCATCTGGAAAGGTGACAGTCCCCTTTCCTCCGTCATTGTCTAAAGTGTGCAAGCTCTTCTTGACCGAAAACCCATCCAGGTCCCTCGGATCGAAGTCCTTCGCCTGGATCACGTCTTTAACGAGGCGTGATACTTCAGCTTCGGATTTATTATGACTGCCGGAGTTCATCCACACCATAAGGCGGTAGACAGTCATGTTAGGGAAGGGATGTGGTGGTGCGAGAGATGATTCGGGCTTCGAGGTATTGTCGGTTCTTGGACTCGAAGTAGCCAGTAACGAAGAAGCGATGTATTTATCAGGCTCAAATGAGGGACGCCTGGGATATTGTCGACAGAGTCCAATTGTATTGAAAACGGTTTGAAGAGAATCGCGCAGAGTCAAAAGGACTCTTCGAATCCTGCTGCAAGGAGTGCTCTGAGTCTCAGAAGACAGACCGTTATTCCCAAAAGAATCTGAGAGGTTGGTATCTTCGTCGGGGGGTAGAAGATCGTGGAAATCTCTTGGAACCGGCCTGAGCTTGCGTTGCAAAGGGCGTTGACCTGTGACTGCTAGTGATTAATGAGTGCTATGATGATAGAACGACAGGAAAGTGCACACCTGGGGCGTCATGGTCTTGCTCATCAGTATCCTCCATTGCAACATCCAAGACGTCGGAGTCAGTCGCCGTATTGACATGAGCAGTGTTGGCTGGGTTGGTAGGCTGATGTAGGGTGCCAAACGCCCTATGTTCGCAATGGGCTATAGGTTTCAAACAACCGTTCTTGGTGAATCGAACTGGTCCGAGCTGATACGGATTGGAGGGTAGTGAGTGGGGCGAGGGTGTTGGAGCGACCTAATACGATAGTGACTTACCCTAGGAGCACCGCTGCCGTGACTAGTCGTGAGTTGTAAGGACCTTTGCAAAGTTTGGGCAGATTCCTGTGCCCGGTTTCGCCTTCTCTCGGTAGCTAATGTGCTTTCCTTGCGGTAATGCTTGCAGATAGAACGATGCCTGCTAAGTCCACGAAAATCCGTATCTCTCTCCCAAGAGCAACGCGGTGCACCGCAGGACACCATTGACAGGATGAAAGTAACAAACAGAATCCAGGATGATGGCGAGAGACGCATTACCCTTCCACGGAAGTTGTGATCATACTAAGGGTAGTACTACGACTAGTACCCATCCGATGTATCAACAAACTTACTATGTCTCCTTGTTGGGCATTGCCATATATATCATCATATAGGAATGTTTGCACTTCTCGTAGGAAGCTACATACTGCGTATGCGGCCAGTTTGCTATGAGGCCTCGAGGAAACTCGAAAGGAATAAGACACAAGCAGGACTTGAATTTTCAAGTCTAGGACATAGTTGACAACGAGATATATGTAGATGGTGCTGTACTTTAGGTGACATCATACAAGATAAGCGAGTTGGTAAAATAAAATAAGCTAGGAAGTCACAGATATATGATGCAGCCTCCTCAATCACCCCTATGCCACCCACCCTACAGGTTTGTACTCCGGCATCAGACAACTTGCCTTCGTAACTCTCTGCGCCCATGCATCTTCCTCGCGCTTCAAGAGTAACAGAAGTTGAGTGTACTGGCGGACACGAGTCCGCGCGGCGATGTAGCTTGAATACACGCTGTCAATGCTTAATTTGGTGAATATGGTATCCTGCTCATCGTCTTCTACATCGATTCCGTCAAGTGCCATCTGAAACAAACTCAGTGCTCGCTGCTAAGCCAAACCACGAGACTCTCGTACCATATATGTCTGCTTCTCTCGTTTTCGCTCAGTATTTTCGATGTTTGAAATTTGAATATGGACTTCGGAGAAGTCGTTTATGCTGACGTGAGTAGAGTCTTGGGCGCTTTGGGGTGATGATGATGGCATTTTCATAAGTTTAAGTAGAAACGTTTCAATCAAGATCTATTTAAATATTTAAATGAGGATTTGATCGGAGCATTCGGTGTTTAAAATTTACACTTACAATACAAATTGATAGTGTAAATTACACCGTTACTACTGTCTGGGGTCGTGTCCTTCTCAGTTGGGTGTCGCGTGACGTGGTAACGGTGGTAGCTTGCATAAGCAGAGTTTCTTTTCTGTACACTGCCTGCGCTTTGTGAGTGTCTAAAAATAATACTCTGGGGGGACGAGTGAGGATGGCGTTTAAATCAATCCGATTTCGGGTCTGCGCAGGGGTAGAGTGCGCTGCATTTGCCAGCCCACGAGGGAATATAACGAACGACTGGAAAAGATCCTTCTGCGAACCAACCTCCGAGGGACTAAGTCTGGGTATGAGGCGGAATTCATTGTCAAGACTAGCAGCAATCACCTTGGTGGATTGAAAGTGTATCTTCTCCGCGGGCGTGAAGCAATTCATCCGAAGAAGATAACTTGTTCAAGACAGATTGACGCTGGGCATAGGTAGTGCCCTGCAACCGTGTTTCCTTCAGTAAGACTTCGATCAGAGTATCGAAACTGGCCGAGTTACCTGACACTTGGGATCTCGATCCAAGCATCTACCCGTGAGAGCGAGGGGTGCTTACACAGGACGTCAACAGTTGGGGTAAAAAGGACAGGCCGACGGAAACGCAAAGAGAAACAAGTTGCATCCTAGGTCGAAGTGTCTCCTGCGGGAACAAGTCAGCCAAGAACGGTAGAACCAACTGACACCTTTGGTGAAGACAATGGTACGGTGCATGCTAGTTGGGTGAGATCATCTAGAAAGGACAAGAAATCCTGCAGGACGTCAGGGCAATCTGAAACGGTGACGTGCTGTGTATCCATAGCCACAAGGTGAAGGGAAGAATTACAATCGTTCTGATAGTTCTCGTTTAGCTTTTCTTGAAGGTGACCAGTGCGCAATCGCCTCTCACCTTGATTTCGAAACCAAAAATGAAGCCCAAGATATCGGTTGTACTCAAGCCAACACAAACGACACTCCAAAGGAGCCTTGTGTCAGGAAAGCCTAAAGTAGATTGAAGCTCTTTGGTTACACGCTGTAGAGACCATACATCAATAGGAAACGTTATGTGAAAGGCCTCCACTGCATTCGACATGAACGTGAGCACACTGTTGGAAGCTTCTACCACGCTGCCGTGATGATCCCAGAGCGAAAGCCGGTCACCTCAAGACTGTGATCGGCATTATCTGCGAAAGTACTACGGCCACTGAGTTCCGTTGGTGCCTGAGACGTGCGCGAGGAATACCAAAGCTTGAACGAGGAAGTATGAGATGCTGGAAATGACAGCGTTGTTACTGATAAAGACTCGGACATGATAGAAGCGAAGTGGCGACTCCCTGGAAATCGACCAGAGAAATACAAATTTCGTTAAGCTCGTTTTCTGACAGCTTCAAAACCTCGGCATGAGAAACTTTGAGGAATGAAGCCAAAAGCAAATGGCCAAACAGTGAATGAGTGTCGCGGAGAGCCTGAGCTTCAAGTTTGTAACAAACGTGTCAATGAAACAAGAGCATCATGATAGTTTGAACGAGGCCATTTACCTTAGACAAGTAGAACAAGGGTGCTCAGCGAGTGATAGGGATGAAAAGCACTGCATCTCCCTATAAGATACTACAGGTGATAGGCCTAGTAGGTGTGATTGAATCCGCTCAGGTTGCAGCAGTCGCACTGGCAGGATCTAAGTTTGAAAAATTTGAGACTCAGAGCTGCGCCAAATGGTGCAAAGTTTGAGTGGGAAAGCAGTCGGTAGATGGATTGAGAAGAAATAGCTGTCATATTTACATTGTTTGTATTAGGAGACGCGAATCAGCAATGGTAAGGTTCATCATACCGTCTGAGATCTGAGACAGTCTAAAAGTCAACTTCAAAGAGCCCATTCAGTAACATTTTCCGACTTAGTCGGACAGCCAAAGGTTGAGATTCTGCCCAGGTAACCGGGCCATCCAAAGTGGGCCCATGGGTGGGTGGGAGCGGGTGGGCCCACAGTACAGAAATCACCGACACTGGCGGTTGGGCTGAGGTGTGAGGTCCATAGAGATGAGTGGGCCCAAAATGTGTGACTGGGTAGGCCTGCATGCTTGAGGGTGAGAATAGGCCAGGCGGATTTGCGAAAATTTTGACGGATGGGCCCAGCCCGCATGTATGCGCACATATGGGCTAGGGAAACAGAGCAACAGATGGGCCTAAAATGCATGACCGGGTGGGCCTGCATGCCTAAGGGTGAGAATGGGCTAGGCGGATTTGCGAAAATTTTGACGGATGGGCCCAGCCCGCATGTATGCGTACATATGGGCTCGGGAAACAGGGCAACGGATGGGCCCAAAATGTGTGACCGGGTGGGCCTGCATGCCTAAGGGTGAGAATGGGCCAGGCGGATTTGCGAAAATTGTGATGGATGGGCCCAGCTTGTAGGCATGCTCGGGAACATGGGCAATGGATGGGCCCAAAATGTGCGACCGGGTGGGCTTGCAATGCCCGAGGATAGGCCCAGCAGATTGCATGTAATCTTGAAAATCACGAGGGATGGGCCCACCGTGGATTTCATCTCAGAAAAGGCAAATTGGCCCAGTGCATATGCAGATGTGGTCTCGGAAACAGTGACGGATGGGCCCAGTCCCCCATGGGTAAAATAACTTCGGGGAACATACTTATTTGCTCACGAAAATGGTGGCTGATGGGCTGAATGTGCTTGGAAGGGACTCAGGAAGAGACCCTTCCACCCATGAGTGTGGAATCGGAAAGGGCGACGGATGGGCCCAGCACTCGTCGTATATCGCCGAGAATGGTGGAGCCCGTAGATTTGGTCTCGGCGAAGGCAACGGGTGGACTCAACTTGTGTGTATTCCCGAGAATGGTGACGGATGTGTGCAGCATGTATGTTGCATGATGGAAAGGGGCTACGGATGGACCATCTGTCATCCCTTGCGATGGCAATGATTTCCGGGCCCATCGGGCAAAGATAACAAATTGGTCGGGTGGCAGACAGAACCTTCATGTAGTTTGTGCTTGGCCAGAGCGGCAGATAGGCAAAGACCCTTACCGACCCTGGGTTCTGACGACGTCCCAATGATAGGCCCGCCGGGCACTTCCGACATCCTATTTGCACCTTGGCGGAATATAGCGTATCGTCCGTGGGCTGACGCCATTTGATGGGCCATGAACATTCGCTGGGCCATCCGAGATGCCCTTCATTAACGAAGGGTTGGCATCACCGGACCCGTCCGATATCCTGTTTGCACGAGGGCCAATTATGCTTCCTCCGTCCCGCTCATACGTCCGCTGGGCCATTGATTAATAATCGGCTAGGGCGCCATCAATGGAACCTCGGACTGTCACAGACATTGCTCTTGATGCCTTCCTCTATTTATAATGTTTGCTGTCTGGAATGCATCGGGATGTCCGAGCGATCTTTTGCACAAGACTACGATCTCCAGCTAGAAGTCAACACAACCGACGATGTCCTGATTATGCGATTGATGCATCGGACACAAACCACATGGGTGAGAAGTGGGTTAAGGCTTGTTGCGGTTGCAGACAGCAGTGCAAATGCAATGTACGGATCGGCCCAGAGAGTGCTGATACGGAGGGGCCCAACTGGCCCAGCCCATATACATTCGTAGCGCGGATCGGTCCAATGCAGAAGTATCTGGCACAACCGGTTGTTCTGAACCTAGTGCATAGAAACTCTATGTGCAGATCAGCCCAGTGCACAAGCACCCGGAGGAGCCCAACTGGTCATTCTGGTACCAATTCGGCGTGCGGATCAGGCCCAATGGGTAAATTGTAGGCCAGTATGTGTGTATCTTGATTTGGGCAACTTCCGGAAGGCTCAAGCGACACGATGTGCCACCCATTGATATTGCATTGCGGCAGGGAAAACGGAAGGGCCCAGCTAGTCGTTTTGAGCACAATCGATGAGTTTAATTAATGCATATACATTGATGCTCGGGACATGTTGACGGATGCGCTCAGTCAGTAATATCATATATCAGCCAAGCAAGTAAGTAATGCATCTGGGTCTCGTTGGGGCTTGGGAATGTTGGGGCCGGAACACGAACATGCTGTTTTGGACTCTAAGTAGTCAGCATCATACGTCGGTAGTTTAAAATCTCGGCAAAATATAATCGAGCACCAGTGGTCCTGGATGTTGATGGTGACGTGGGCCTTTACAAAGGTGACTCCGAATGCGAACTCCCGAATGGATATGTCTCATTATAAACAGAAATTTTCAGCACTGTATCGGTATTAAATAGATTGGTTGTCGCTATTCAGAACTGCACCGTGATGACTGGTTCCGGAAGCTAATACAATCAGACAACCACATATCAGGTCATCACCACTTGGTATGGTGGGTGATCACAATCAGTTCCGGATGCACCTTCCATGTATGATGCTGAATTATGTCGGATATATGCAGGTGCCGTCTGGCCAGTATCATGGTGATTCTCGGAACCAAGAGGGTACTCCTATTGCCCGGCTCATGCTTTCGTCCACCGGACTCCTGGATGCACTTGCCGGTACAATAATCTCATGTGAAGATGATTTGCGCATGCTCAGGTCCCAACTTTTAGTTAGAATGAAGCAATACTATGATTTGACAAAGATCTGATAACAATACCACATACACAATTTGCATGGACTCAACTTATTGAACTCGGATACAAATGCAGCGCCAGGCTGAACATGCAATATTCTAACAGTACACAGTCCTCTGGAATATCTACAGTACATGCGGGGGTCCCGCGATCAGATCTATCCTATATAACTAGTGACTATTTAAAGTCGTCATAACGTCGTCCATCTATTTTAGGGATTCCAAAGATTGCCACCGGGCATCAGATTTGTTGAGCCGTTGCTCTAACTCGTCCAACCGCTGAAGCAGGTTGGTCTCAACTGAACCCACTCTGACCTCCAACACGTCTACCCGCTCATTGGCGGCGAGGAGATCCAACCTCTGACCGAGGTCCTGGATGCCCTGCAAGATGTCTCTTGCGGTGGGCTCTGGTTCCAGCAGGTTGGTGGGCGCAGGCGATTGCCGGTGTTCCGGCTGTACTTGAGCCTGACCCGGAAGGACCGCCCTGGGCTGTTTCTCCGCTCCTACCAAATCCAATGAGCTCAACTCGTTCCGAGGCCACGAGAAAACGTACCTTTGCTACCAGCAATGCTCCATTGAGAGCGAGAAGGATGCGCCATGACTTTTTCGGAGACAGCTCAGGACTTGGACGTCTTGGGGGTTTTGCACGCGTCAGAGGATGCTTTCGCCGCATTATCTTGCAACCTCTGTCGGACACCAACGCCGTCGATTGCGCATGCGATCTTCATGTTGTCACAATTGGCGCAGGCGAGGCGTGTATACCCGAATTTCTTGTCGGGGAGGACAACGCAGGCTATGTCCAACTTGGCACACTTGTCGCAGTGCCGGGGGTGGTAACGAACAGAATGCTTCAAATTCATTAGCCTGTGTTGATAACGATGCATACACATACTTACCTGCAAAGGAGTAGCGACATCAGAATCCGAGCCCCATTCTGCAGGCTTAAAAATGGCTCAATGTCCGCACTATGCTTATGTGAGAATCACTTACCCAAGTTTCTGCGTCCAGGAAATCCTTGTCTCCGACTAGCAGAACATCCTTGTCAGTAGCGACAGGCGATGATTCCTGGATCGGTAAGCTGTTAGATGCCTAACCAAAGATGAATGAACATACCCTTCGTTTCACATGGATGACTCCGGTTGGCTCCTTTTTGACATCGGACTTCAACTTCCTCATCTTTTTGGCAACCGCGTTGGCCCCTTCATCTTCCGCCTTCCTCTTCTTGCTATCGCCGGCTGCGGAAGCTACCTTCCACTGTTCCCTCTCAGCTTCTGGAAAATACAAGTGTCAGCATCTTAGGGGCAGATGTGCTGGACGACCGACATGGGGCAGGTTCTTGGCCGCTCACACCTGTCGTTTCGGTTCGTCTACCAGTTTAGCGATGACATCCAGGTCCGTTTGGGATGGCATAGAAGGCGGAGTCGAGGGAGTCGATGGTGGGACGATGAGGGCCGGTGGTATTGGGACGGTGGCGGGAATATCAGTCGATGTCGCGATGGCGGGAATGTTAAATGTGGAGGGGGGGCGATAGTCCACGGTCTTCTCGAATCATGGGTGGTTCTTTATCCGAGGGTCGTCGTTGGTGACGGAGGTCCAGTCGGGGACGTTTTCAAAGGCCCCGCCCTTTGAGTGCTGTCTCACAACGGCGGCAAATGAGAGCAGCTGTGGGGAGAATGATGTAGCATTCCCACTGTATAGTTTTAAGTCTTTTGCCTGTGTCGAATGTCTTAGTTTAACACGGAGAATTTGCAATAAACGTAACAAACACTCACCACACGCCTGGCAATCTCGTCCGACAGCTTTAAGCCCTCGGGATCACCCTTCTTCACCTTGATGCAGCGCTGAGCGAGCGATTGCACGACAGCGAGCATGGCATTCAGGGCATCATTTGCTACTTCGGGAGGTACGGCCATGATGTCTGATTTGAAAGAAAACACGGTGGTGAACAGGGTAAATACGGCAGATATGAGAAGTTGACTTAGAAAATTCCGACAAGTCTGGATTGTAATCAATCCGGTCGTGAGTAATGCTTGGGACTTGTGACTTGTGGCTTGTGGATTGGGACATGTGGATCAGTGGCAACGGTATTGTACTTGGGAGTGGTTCTATTATTGTCCTATGTAATACTGATAATCCATCCACCAATGTCCGGATGAACCGATACTGCATGTTTGAACGAGCCAAACTGTCTGCCGCCCTGCATCCACCCATCTTGGTCAGGGTGCGATTAAACTTCTTATGCTCATTTTCCCCACGATTTCCACATGTGATACTTCTGAAACCCTATGCTCGGATCCACTGGCCAGAACTTATTTGTTGTCAAAACCCCATTACTTATTCGCCGCCCAGCTTATACAATTTTGTCACTGCATTGCAATTATTCTACTAGTAGCAGTTGTGAATGCATTTGACAAGTGCGGGCGAACAAGTAGCCTATGTAACAGATAACTACTGATATGATTTATGTATGAAATGAGCTAGCTAATTTGGCAATTGTAGCCCAGTAGTAGTGCTGCCGTGGTCAGATTTGGTCTGGTTCAAAGGGTCATCGAGGAGAACCCAGAACTGGACCAGCGATTCGGTTCTACGAAATGTCCGAACCCATAACCAGACCATGGAGAACCGTTCTCTGTGGTCCAGTTTGGTTTTGTTGCGTTCCGAACCAAAACCGGACCCAAAATTTTCTAGTAGAGTCCGAATGCTGTCATGGAAAGGTGAAACAGGTTCTGGCAGGCTTTCAGCCATTCAATCAAAGCGTAGGGCGTCTATGACGAGCAGGTCAGCTCTTTTGTGGGCAGCGAGTGAAGTGAAGGCGTCTACACTTATGTCGGGGAGTGCGAGTCGATTGAGGAGGGATCCCTTTGCGAATAGATAAATCCCAGCTAGGTGAACGCATAGCACCCAAAACAAGACACACTGCGGTGCTATCAATTTCAATGCTGAGCGTCCGCTCAACGTCACCGAATTCAGTAAGGATTGAGAATGCTCCATTTTACGAAAAAGTTGGCTGTCTATGAGATATCAGGTCTATGAACAACTTCTTATGACTATATATTAAGAAATTGGCTGGAAGGTTGGATTTGTCTTTATAAAGCCAGCCTGTGCGTGTTTAGCAAGTTCTTGGTACATATGGGCCTACCAAATCACATAACACTTGTGTCCCTCCGTTTGTGCCTCGCAGTTCGATGTGAGCCTTGTCAACCACGTGCTTGCTTTGAAGAGGAAAAACTCCAGAGTCCACCCCATTTCATGTTCAACGAGTATGAGTTCTTCCGCCCATCGGTCGTGTAATGCTTTCGTGCGAAGCCAATGAACCCTGTAAACTGTCGTGTCTTGAGCCTCGGCTCGAAATATCCGGATTACAACTGACGTACATTCATTCATCCAATCGCTGCTGACAGAATCGCCTTGTACGTCTAGCGACCAGAACCACGGGAGAGTTGCATTTCGCTGCCCCCAGGCATTCGGGTCCGCCATGGCAGCAGTGGTTTTGAGATGGCACTTTTCCATCCGGAGATACTTCTTAAGTAGGCCATGAGCGTCTAGGTTTCCTAGTTGTGCCCGATGAAGGTACAACAATTCAGATGGTGAGTCTGAACAATGTTGGGTCTTGCAGAACCTAGCTGCTATTCGACCCTAAAGGGTTTCTGGACCAGGCTCAAGGCTCAGAGTAGAGGAAATATCATAAAAACTTGCTGATCTCTCAGACTCATACTGGTAACTGGTGAAAAGATTGATTGATTATGTAAGCTACAAAAGTGCCAACATAAGGTAAGGTAAAACAGTCTCTACAAGCCCAACCAGAAATGAATCCCTACATCTCATGGGAACTTTGAATCATGACTGTCCCCAGTCATCTACCTATGCAAACCAAAGCTAAGCTAAACTTAAGAAAACTAACCTGGGGGTCCTCAAACACCTTTTGTCTCCTTGACGCGTATGCCAGGTAAACTGCGCCAGTGAGTGAGGGTCAGGCAATGGAATAAAACGATAATCCCCAGACTTTGCTTTTAGTACTGGAGGAGCAGCGATGCTAAAGTGAAAAAAATGCGATGATGGTTGCATGGATGACGATGGGGAGTAGACGGATAGAAAGAGGCGAACGAGGGCTTCGAAATGAGTATAGGGTTGACTAGGTTTGGTGGAGAACTGAGTGAGAAATGAGGGAAATGGTGGAAAAGGGCGGAAATTGCGAGAAGTGCGGATAGCGAGGGCGCAGGCGGGCGTATCAGAAATCTGATCGGATGGATGGAAAGCGCGGAAAAATGCGGTCAGAACGCGCCTAAGGCGATGGGCGCGCGATCACAGGGCGACGAGATATAAAGAAGGCGCAAAAATGGGGCGAAAATTAGGGGGGAACGCGCGAATGCGAATAGCGAGCGAACGGCTGAGCGCGCGAAGGCGCGGATATGCGCGAATGAAAGCCATGAACGAGGGCTTCAAAACGGATATAGGGTCGATGGGGTTCTGATGCGAAATGGGCTGGTGAAAGTGCGAAAAAGTGCGGAGGTGCAAGAGGGAGGAGGAGGAAGGGGTATGGTGCAGGGCAACAAGGGCTGGTCCTATCAAAAAGCGGATTGGGGCAATGGACAGAGCCACTGAGGGATGGTAAATGGCCAAAAGAGCTAGATGAGACAGGCCTTTGAGCACCCAGAAAACCCTTATCTCCCCTCAACTTCTCAAAAACACCAAAAACTCAATATCTCCACAACTACTGCTCCAATTTCGATGAACCAGGGCTCAAAATGACCGGATGGACGAGGGGAATACGACCCTAAGTTTGCGAGAGATCCGCTCGAAAAACGCGTGGGAAAAACACCTATCAGTGCGCTGGGGAGGAGAACAAAATGCTGAAAACTGGGGATTATGGGAGAAGCTGGTAAGGAATGACTGTGGTTGGATAATAGGCGAATTTGGGGGATGATTGGAGAGCTGGAAGAGCCTAGAAACACAAGAAACCCTCGCGGTGGGCTCCAGTTGAAGGTACAACAATTCAGATGGTGAGTCTGAACAATGTTGGGTCTTGCAGAACCTAGCTGCTATTCGACCCTAAAGGGTTTCTGGACCAGGCTCAAGGCTCAGAGTAGAGGAAATATCATAAAAACTTGCTGATCTCTCAGACTCATACTGGTAACTGGTGAAAAGATTGATTGATTATGTAAGCTACAAAAGTGCCAACATAAGGTAAGGTAAAACAGTCTCTACAAGCCCAACCAGAAATGAATCCCTACACCGACATTTCATATAAATCATCGTGTTGAGTCGGATGACCCTTTCAACTGAATGAACCTGCGTCCATGCCCTCGTTGACTTGGCTTGTGATTTCGCCGGACGCACGGCGGTACGAAAGAGCACAGCCTTATCCGCTAGATGCATTCTGATCGCTTACAAGGCATCGTTGGCCTGACCTTCCCGAAGTGCAATTTCCTGACCAATGAGGTGTTCAACTCCCAGCTCCGCACAGCGTGCTACGCCGAAATTGGATGGCAGAGGTATCACGGTCTTCTCGGGGTAGAAGAGATCCCGCAGCCGACGTCCATGTGCTTCGGGTTCGGATTCTGTATCACTGCCGTTAATCCCTTCATCTTCTGAATCGTCATCCATGAAGTCCAAGTGAAGATCTCTGATTTCATCATCAATGTCAAAGCCCTCGCCGAGATGTGTTGCTGCCACCATTGTAAACTCATCTATTGTCGAACGTCTGCATATATCCAAGGTTTGGGTTTCCGTGGGGTGTCTGCCAAGCCTCCTAGTATCCATAGTCAGCACGATCTGCATCTCTTCTATGGTAATGCCGGATGCAATCCATGTAGCAGCACCTCGTTGCAGATTCCCACCCAATCGGCCTACCCGGGAGGACAGCAAAGCTAGCTCCTGCTGCTTCCGAGTTGGTGCTGGTCCATGCAATCAGTTTTGTGGGGCGGAAGCTGAGAGAGCAGAAACTCACCCCTCTTTAACTGAACTTCAAATACAACCATCGCCGATGGATCGGCGACTCGACATGAATGGGCATATCGGTCTTGTTCTTCCCATGTTGCAATCATGATAGGATCGGTGGTTTCATTGAGCTTGTCAAAAGCAGAGGCACTTTCTGCGACGCCCTTCATAGCTTCCTTATATTTCCGGCAAAGAAAACTGCCTATATCAATGCCATTAGAAAATCTTCACCAAGGAGATTCATAGCTCAACTCATGCAAATCATCTTCATAAAATTAGAGTCATTCATCTGGTAATCAAGACACTCTTGCCGATGGGGAGTCGACATCCCTCTCGCGGCGGGAGAAATGATATTCGTCGATCCTAGCGGCCCCGGTGATAAACATTGATGCATACCAAACATAGCATTTGTCTTGGTGTCCATGAACATGCCAGAGGCCAATTCCCAGTATGATCTCCATTCCAGAAGGGAGGCTCAAATAGAGGCTCTCGTTCACCCGATGCCGGAAGTGCTTGTTATACTGACAATTAATGTCATAAAATGTCAAAGCTTGACTGAGCCCATTTGTGCGGTGGCTTAACGTGTTACATAGGGCGTAGTCCATATTCATTTGCCTAATCACGGAAGTCACCTCGTGAATCAAAATCGGTGGAATCCTGAAACATACCGTTCGCCCTTTTGAAAATCCACAACCGAATGAGGTACAAAACAGCCGTGGCGGGCGCACACACACCCGCCTATCCCGGTAGCTTCTAGTTTGTGTCGTGACGCATTGGCCTGGTTTACAGCTCGGTGATTGTTGCACTCGGACGGTTGAACAACGTCTTTGGCAATGGCTAGATGAGCCTTATATCGGTCTTTGGAAACCATGAAGCACTGGTCAACAGTCAACCAGACTTCATCTTCCGGGTGAGTAGGATGAAGGTGCTCTGCTTTCAAGTTGCCGTCCATGACCAGTGATCGGGCATATAGCCAACTGGGATCATTGGGGTGCCTATTGGCCGGTAGTGGGGCGTTAATGCCGGGCTGAGGGCAAGCCGGGCAAAAGAGAGCGAGTTCACCGGATGTCGGCCTTCTTCTCTCATAACCAAACCCATTCCATTTGAGCAGCTTCAGCCGTCGCCATTGCCGTGCTACCCTCATCAGTTCTCTGTAACGGTCCTGCGGGAAATTGAGCATTGATGATGTTGAATTTCTATATGCAACACCTACAGGGACTAGTTGCGGAAATATACTTGACATCATTCTTCTCAACTTGTTGTAGTAATTCATTGCCGAAGTTCCGCATTCCAAGTTGTCCAAGGCAAAACCATCCAGCACCGAAAAGGTAAATGCGGTCTTCGGCCAGGTGAAGGATGCCGGAAACATGCCCATCTCAAATAATTGCTTGTCGGTGGTACAAGCATTCAGACAACGACAAAACCGTATCATGAGCGAATGTACTCCGGACTTGTCAACAATGGTTATGCATTGCTTGCTGTTCAAGAATGGAAGTTCGAGTATGGTAGGGAGGTCCTCTTCCGGTTGATATATTGGCTCGTCGGTGTCCTCCCATTCGTGGATTTCCCCAAGTACTGGACAAGGCTTCCCTGATGCCCCAAATAAATTTCCATGCCCATCTTAGTCAGAGACGTTTCCTCAAAAAATCCTCCATTCCATTTCCCTATCTTATGGAAGGGCAGTCTCCGGTGCTCATCTCTGCAGCACTTCAAACAAAATAATGGCTCGCCGAGACAGTCGTGGCACCTATACACAGTTGACTCAGCACTGCACAGGCAGCATGATTTATCTGCTGGTGGAGCCTCTCGTTTATGGAGGATCCGGAGGTAATCATCAGTCCGAAATTTCCATTCCCGGAGATAATCATTTGGGCTCTAGGACATCGGTCAGCGCAAAACATATGGCAGGAACATTGTAGTGCACCTTTGTCTTCTTTCTCCCTAACGGTAAGTTGAGCGCACCAATTGGTTCCTTATTACCAAAGTCCTCATAGTCAGCATTGAAATCGGTTGACGTTGATCCCATGCCCTGTCAGAATTATGTTTTCTGGGAGACTTCTGCTGGAGATGATTGCACGGATGGGCTTGGCTGACTGGGGTTTGACTGGACACCACCTTCCCTTTCAAGCCGCGAGTTTGTCTCTGTTGTTTTCCATGTACCCATATGCGCCGTGTCCCCGTGGAGCCAATGTCCTTGCCCTAGACTTGCCCATGTGGTGACTGGAGACTTTGTAGTGAATTTAAGGACAAGCAAAATTTGCATGCTAACGCTGGCTCGCTTATAGCCAAATGAAGCGCAAATTAAGTAAAGTTTTTGCTCCCCCATGATTTTAAATATAAGACCCCATTCAAACAACCTTGTCCTTCAATGATGTCCGACCACAACTCTGCCTCTGATTCAGAGTCCAACAAACAACCTCCAGCAAATGAAGAAGAGGTTGCTGTCCTGCAATCTTACCTCGAGCAATGGCGCTCTGCTTCTACATCGGAGCGCAAGAATATATTGAAAGCAGCTACAATGGAAGCCCGGACGAAAGCACCATCATGTCAATTGTGCTGTTCAAGGCTCGTAAAGCGGTGCGTGGCCATTAATTTTTTGGTATATGATACGCTCCTCATCGTATTCAGACATATGAGACATGGTTCCGCAACCATGCCAAAGCAAAGAAACCAGGGG